GGAACCGGGGCTGGGGGGGGAGGAAGACAAAGAAAAAACCCCCGATTGCACTGCAACCACCACACAAGCAACACTTTAAACCCACCAACTCGCACCCAGCGCGGCCGAGTCGCTGTAAAAGGCGGCAGCCTGACCACCCGGAGGGCTCTTACGAAGGAGGCTGCGAACAGCGACGCGGAGAGCTGTGTCTCTTCTGACCGAGAGGAACACAACAGTCTGATTTGGGCTCCACCGCAGCACTGACAGTTCCAATGGGTTTAAGATGTCGAGCTCTCCTTCTCTGCTTCGGCGTGGCGGAGGAAGAACAGCACACGTTCAGAGTTTGTTACGAAAATAGAGTTTATTAAAAACACATCCCTATTGTTTTTGAGGAGCTTTCACCGTTACCTTTTCTTAAATTAAAAAAAAAAAAAAGAAAAAATAGAAAGCACTTCTACTTCTGATTTGTAAACTTTTTAAAGTCAAAACTTTAAAAAAGTTACAGCAAAAAATGGGTAATAGTTTAACTGGATCTTCAGTATTCCGTGTTACGCGGTGGCTATTTTAAATAGAAGGGAAGCAATCAAATTGCTTACGACTCCCCGCCAGCTACCGAGGGGCTGTGGCATCGGCAGAAGCAAATATGATACAGCAGCAGCCTGTACAACGCTAAAGCTCTACACTCCCACGAGTGTCACTGTCCTCGTCCCACCACTTCCAGTCTCTAGCGAGGAGCCTCCGCCACGGAGCCCGTATCCTTTTCCGCTTGTTCCGCGGATGAGGTAGCCTCGGCTGGTAACTCTTCCGCAGGTTTGACCCCTGCAGGCTCGGCCTCTCCCGCGGCCAGTTCGGAAACGTCTGCCTCTTCCATCCTGTGAGACTCATGGTTTTTGTCGCCGTCCGCCCGGTCTGTCTCCGGTTTCTCCCTGCCTCGGCTCTCTTCCCTGTCCCTGCGAGACTCCCTGTCTCGCGAATCTCTCTCTCGGTCTCGATGGCTGCTGGACCGCCTGCTCCTGTCCTCCAAGTCTCTGTGTCTGTCGCGCTCGGGGCTTCGCCGTCCCCAGTCTCGCCTGTCGCGACTGCCGGGTCGCTCGTGGTCTCGGTCGTCGTTGCGGTTACTGTAGCGCTCGCGGTCGTTTTCTGGCGCAACTTTTCCTGGTGTCTGTTGGGTGTGACCGTCTGCCTGTCGTTCCTGAACTGCCTCCCGTCTCTGTTGTCCTCGGTGCTGCCCGGCCCCCCGCTCCCCTGCATCCCCCCGGGCCTCACAAAGTGACCCGGTGGCGGGAAGGGGGTTTTCATTCCGTGGGGCGGGGGCATCCCAAAGCCCCCCGGGCCCGGCCCCGGCGGGGGCCCTCTGTGCATCATGTGGGGAGGCATGTGTCGCGGCGGCATCAAGGGAAAGCGCTGCAGCGGCGGGGGCGGCATCCCGGGTGGTCGCT